AACCATCAAAACGCCTGCCATTTGATATAAATAAATATTGTTAAATTATTAACTAGTATTGAAATTTTAATTGAATGAATTTAACTTATCATAAATTAATAAATAAATATTAATGCTGGATTCCAGCTAAGTAGTGAGGAAGTTAAAAAGCTGATTCCCATAAATCTCTTCACCCTCTTTCTCCAAACTCTTTTGACCATGTGCCTGTTTATCCGAAAAGAATAATGAAGACGGTCTTTGTGAATAAAAGGGGCTTGACGTCATTAAGGAAGACGCCTTTATAAGTGGATTTGAAAATATTACAAGAGCTAAATGAGACTAATCACAAGTTAATGACGAAGTAAGTACTTTCTTTTAAATTCGATTTATTTTGCCTTATCATCTTACAAATTCACTACCCACAACTGCAAATAAGATTATAAGCCACCCATCTCTAGCATCAACTTCATAAGAATATTTGCAGATGATGAGAGCCAGCAAATAAAAATAATGGGAAAACATATTCATAAATGTAAAGTGAATTATATATAACCATAGATTTTCCACCAAGGGGCGCGCGATAGACTTACCTCCACGTGGTGCAACTGGACAGTTAACTTTTGACTTCAGACTACCATGACCCGATTGTATGTCCTCTTCGACCACTTTCACAGTACTCATCATACCCTTTTCTCCACCTTCGTGCCTGTCTCTTTTACATCAGCAAATCACTCTTCCGTTTCCCCTCTCAATTTTTTGTGGCTGATATTTCTCCCCTCTGTGAAGTTCGAAGTCAACTAAAGAGCTAATGATAACTATCATAAAACCTGCGATTTAATATAAGTAAATAAATATTATCTTCAAAAGCCAAAACCCCGCAAGCTGTGTAAAAACTGGATTTCACCAACCATTGAATGGCGCACATTGATATTACTAGTAAAAGTATTGGTAAGGAAGGCTACGAACCCTTGTCTTTAGGCATCATGGAGATGAGGAAATTTGTGATGTTATTTGCAAAGAGTGCTGAGGCTTGGCCAGGCAAACGAGAGGGGAAATCCGTGTAGCCAATGTGGACAACTCGATTTGCGCCTCCAATGTAGAGTTGACCTGGACGAGTTGTCTCCACATTTCCACCAGCTTCGGCAGCTAAGTCAACAATCACCGCGCCTGGGCGCATTGAATCCACCATTGCCTGGGAAATAAAGCAGTGGAAATCTGTTTGTTTGATTTTGTGGGGAGGGGAGAGAGAAAGTAATGGTAAACAAGGTAGGCTCACAACTTTTCACTGTCAGTAGGAAATCGTGAAATAAATGCTCATTGGACAGTTCAAACGAAGCCTAATAAAGACCAAGCAAACGTAAATTACTCACTAATAATTACCACGTGTATGACCTTTCATTTGTCAGCGATTCAAGAGTTAGCGGTGTTTAAAACAATTCTAACAGGAGCATTGCGACCGGCTATTCTACTAAAATGAGTAGTTAAAAATGCTCAAGGTAAACACGAGCGAAATAACGGAGTCGATTAAATTTTGTTTGCAACAAATTAGACCGGAAGGTTTTTACAAACGTCAAAAGAACAAAAAAAATATGTAAACGACATTTCACTGAACACTGACAAAAATTGGAGGCTCGGAAGTGAACTCTGTAACAATGTCTGTTAAGCTCTACACCAAATTGAAGGAGGGGGGGAGTTGGGGGTTGGGGGGCGTAATACCCTCAATCCAAAACATTGAGATCCAAAGGAAGAGATAGGAATGGACGATATTGATTTAGACTTAACTGCAGGCATTTTAGCCACAAACTTGTTTAATTCGTTTGTTGAGACAGAATATTGCTACGTTTCTGGAAACATGGAACGTGTTCCTCTATCTTTCGAATAGGGGGTGTGCGATAGACTTACCTCCAATGTGGTGCACACTGAGCAACGTATACTCTTACGGCAAAAAAAGTCTGTAAACCGACAGTTCACTTCTGACTTCACACTTTCACAGTACTCATCCTACCTTTTTTCTCTACCTTTGTGTCTGCCTCTTTAACACCTAAGAATCACTCTTTTGTTCCTCCTCTCGATGTTTTGTGACTTTGAGATTCCTCCCCTCTGTGAAGCTTGTTTATTTATTTACATCAAGTGGCAGGCGTTTTGACAGTTATCATTAGCCCTATAGTTGACTTCAGGCTTCACAGAGGGGATGGAACATCAAGGTGAAAAAAGTCGAGTTAGTTGGAGGGAATAGAACAGTGTTTCAGAGATGTAAAAGAGACAGACACAAAGGTAGAAAAAAGGTGATGTGAGTACTGTGGTAGTAGTCGAATATGACATAAAGTGAGGTGATGGTAGTTTGAAGTCAGAAGTCAACTGCCAGTTAAAAGACTTTCCTTGCCGTATGAGTATACGTTGCCCAGAGTGCACCACGTGGAGGTAAGTCTATCGCACACCCCCCCCCCCTCTGTGAAGCTCAAAGTCAACTAAAGGGCTAATGATATCTAGCATAAAGCCTGATATTTGATATAAAGGTCTTTCAAAGAAAGTGAAAAAGTGCAGCCTAAGTAGCGGAAGGAGGGAGAATTTGTGTTTTTTGCGTGCAGAAGAAATATATCCCGTTTGGGCAGGAAATTTTGACCTCAACCTTAGTGGCCTCAGTTCTTTAAAGTGCAATTGCGTTGAAAGTGAAAATAACTTTAGAAACATGAAAATAGTCGTATAATTGTTATAATTAAAATAACGTAAATAATTAAGAATTTAAAATCTCTTCTTCTCTTCAGAAGGAGTTAGAACAGCGCTCCACACTAAGTGAGCATCAATCTAAATCAACAATAATTACTTACTAGAAAGCTATGACGAACATTTTCACCAATCACTGCGATTGGCAATGAAACTGAATAAAGATCGAAGGCTTAATTGGGTTTATTATAAAGCTGTTCTCAGTCAACAGGAATTATTAAATAAATTTCCTAAATTGCAATAAGGGTAATAGCAGCACGATTTCATTTGGGGGGTGGGGGGAAGGGCTGTAAAATTCTGGGGTAGATACTCTTATACGATTTTCTGCTTTTAATATATAAGGCAATGTCATTGGTTACACCTGGACCAATTACAATTTCGGCATCTCATAATAATAGCTTCAATTTTCAGGGTTATAAGAGTGATGAAAAACGTAAGTGAATTGTTATTTGCAAATGTTTAAAGATTTAAAGAGATTAACCAGTACATCATTTATGCGGCAGGCAGGATTCTATAAACCCCTCAAAAGTTATCTAAGTAAAAAAACAGACAGATAAGACACTATTGTCAAATATGGCATGTGAAAGTGCAGCATGTTCTGGTATTTCTATGGATAGGGCATAAAATGGGGCATTCAAGAATTATGGCAAATATTAAACAAAGGAAAAGGGTGCATTCTTCAAAAAATACCTCGGGCGTTAAAGGATTAGAGGTTGGAAATTATAGGTAATGTATTAAAATGAAAGAATGCAAGCATCAATACGAGATGTGATTTAGGGTGCCTTCCTCCACTAAACATGATATTTTTTCTTGAATTGTAAGAAATGAACTCCAATCCGTCTTCGAATTCACCTAGATGCATTTAGTCACCCCACTGACAGGAGTAGTGGATTGATCTTTCGCATGAAAATAAAGAGGCCTCTGGATTAAAAATTCAAGAATTTATCGTGTGAGTGTGGTGGTGGAAGGCTGAGTCATAGTAAGAAGACGAGCTCCAGGTGGTATCATTCTCAATAGCCAATCCGAACCAACTGATAGGCTAATTAATCGGATGTTTAATAGACAGTAGGGTACAAACTCGTGATATTAGGTTGGCAACTAAGTCATTGCCGATTTCAAATAAGAAGGCAAATTCGCAATTTTTGTTTAAAAATATAACTATTCAATTAGATATTGGCCGTTCTTGTCGATGACCTTTTTCCATCGTTCTGCCAGAGTAAAAATTCCCCGTTCGTAAAATGTCTGGTCTTTGCTATTAAAAAACTGAATTAGGTGTAATCCGACATCATCCGCGTTGTTAAAAATTTTACCATTTAAAGAGTTTTGCATGGAACGAAACAAATGGTAATCCGAAGGCGCAAGGTCAGGGCTATATATGGGGTGGGTGTGACAAAACATCCCAACCCAGTTCCAATAATTTTTGCCGAGTAACCAAAGCTGTGTGGGGCCTTGCGTTATCATGATGGAAAACAACACCCTTCCGATTTGATAATGCCGGCCGCTTATCTTCAATTGCATCCTTCAGTTTTTCGAGTTCTTCAACATACACATTTGAATTTATCGTTTGGTTCTGCGGCATGAGTTCAAAATACAAAATTCCTTTGTGATCTCCCCACCAGACTGACAGCATAATCTTTTTTGGGTGAATCTCTGCTTTTGATACTGTTTGGGCTGGTTGATCTTGCTTCACCCATGATCTCTTGCGAGTAACGACATTGTCATAAACTATCCACTTTTCGTCGCCAGTAACTAGGTTCTTCAGAAATGGATCATTCTCATTGTGTTTCAGTAGCGAATCACAAATGCTAATCCGTTGCGTCAAATGAATTTCCTTTAACTGGTGAGGGATCCATAAATCAAGTTTCTTGACATAACCAAGGGTTTTTAATTTTTTTCAATGCATGTATGCGACACATTGAGCTTCTCTGCAATATCTCGTGTTGTGCTGTGACCATTTGAATCGATAATGGCCTTGATATGGGTTTCATCCACTTCGACTGGGGGGCCAGATCGTTGTGAATTTTTCAGTGAAACATCACCGGAACGAAATCTTTCAAACCAATTTCGACACTGCCTTTCTTCCTCACGGCTTCATCTCCATATACGGCACATAACTTCTTTTGTGCTTGCGATGCGTTCTTGCCTTTTCGGAAGTAATACCATAAAATGTGTCGGAAGTGCACGTCCTGTTCTTTCATTTTTAAATTGGGATAAAAACAAAACTAAAGAACTAAACAAAAAAAATTTTTTACTAATTAACCTAGAAGCCCATACAGTAAGAAAAAATATAGGTTAGATGCTCTGGCCACGTTAACAAAACAAAAGAAAGTATAGAGTGAATCCGTCAACAAAAACGGCAATGACTTAGTTGCCAACCCAATAGTTTCTAAAGTCCTCACTCATATGTTCGAAATTGCAAAATGAGCGATATTCACATAGCGATCATAAATGGTAGTATGACCAAATTAAAGTAATTAGAAAGAAGAAACAGCTGATGAATATTTCCAAAATCGGAGAAATTCATGGGTGTTTAAAGGGGGAGATGGTAATTTAAAAACCGCGCGGGGGGGGGGGGNGATAGACTTACCTCCACGTGGTGCACACTGGGCAACGTATACTCATGCAGCAAAAAAGTCCATTAATAGGCAGTTAACTTCAAACTATCATGACCCCATTGTATGTCTTATTCGACAACTTCCACAGTGCCCATCTTACCTTTTGTCTGCTTTTATGTCTGTCTGTCGCCTTTACAACCATGAATCATTATTCTGTCAACCCCCCCCCCTCTCGCCTTTNGGGCAACGTATACCCATGCGGCAAAAAAAGGTCTATTAACTGGCAATTGACTACCGTGACCCCAATGTATGTCTTATTCGACAACTTCCACAGTGCCCATCTTACCTTTTGTCTGCTTTTATGTCTGTCTGTCGCCTTTACAACCATGAATCATTATTCTGTCAACCCCCCCCCCTCTCGACTTTTTTTCACTTTGATGTTCCTCCTCCTCCTCTCTGTGAAGACTGAAGTGGGCTAAAGGGCTAATGATAACTATAAAACGCCTGACATTTGAAAATAAATTTTAAAACACTTATTTCAATTGTGGGAAAATATAGTTATAAATGGATGAAAAAGGTATGCTATTATCGAAGCTTTCATTAGTATTAGAGCATTTTTGCATATGCAATAAAACACCGCAAGGAGAAACTCATGACGGCATGTTAAAACACGTGAATTTGATGTAGGTTTTATCTTACAGTGAAGAGTCCACTTTTACCACGAGAAAGCATCTGAATACGGAAAGGTATTGAGTAGAAGTTTGTAAGGAGTTCTATTTACTTTAATATTTTGGATTCAGATATGCACCCTATTACCTAAGTGCTGCAGTTAACGGTTCAAAAATCTATTATTCAGATATACAAATTGCAGATTTTTTTCTGAATTCTTAAGTAAATTCGTGCTCATGGAGCATACTGATCTGTTGAACTCACCTAGTGAGCTATGGTATATTAAAATCATCACACTTCTTATATTTCTATTATCTTGGCCATTGCATAAAAAAGTGCCAGCATTTTAATGATTGTAAGCTGCCGAATATATAACGTAAACGAGTTTTACAAATTCAGTAATTGAAAGAGGGAATGACTTGATGTGACCAATAAGCGTTGGGAATCGCAAAATAAACTGTTTACTGCTACCTATTGGACAACTCAAGAAATTTTGATTTTTGAACGTAAGATATTCATTTAGTAAATATTATTAAACCAGAAACTAAAAATTATATAAAAAATAATATGGGTGGACTTTTTATCTTGTATTAAAATTCCTCTCAAACAATTCAACGTCATTGTATTAGTGTTGAAAATAAAAATAAATTACTAAGAAAGTTTCCCATCTGTTAGTAAGAACGCGGGTTAAATTTCAAATCGACACTATACTTGCCTAAGTGGGGAAATGTTGATGTGGTCTAACAATTAGAACAAACAAGAGTAGGAGAAAAGACTTGTAAAAATCAAGCAAAGCTTAACGAAAATGATTACCAACATGACGCCTTTTATCAGAAATGCGAAATAAGATGAAACAGCATGAAATAGTTATAAAGTTACAGAGAAGAAGAATTAACCTATAACCCTTTAACCCCGAATTATTTTTTGATAAGTGTTGCTTTTTACGTGCATGATGATTTATTTTTTGGAAAAAATGAACCCAATCACACTCACGCGTGATCCCGACAAAGCGATGAGTTTTGGTGGTATCGGGTGAAGGGTATAGACGTACTGAACACGTTACAAATGGCAATAACGCCTTCTGCCACGAGTCTAGTACCAATGGAACTGATTTAGAAAAAGGACCGTAGGGTTAAAAAATGAAACCTGAAGACATTTGAATAAATGGTGCAATTGTGCACAGAAAGATATGAAGTTACTCATCTACAGTAGCGCAACAACTTGTCATTAGGTGTTTTTGTTTTTTTTCCTCTAAATTCGACAATGCGATAATTAGTACTTAAGAATATCAGGATACATGTCCTTTCATTCAATGCTCTCAAATATGACCTCGAGAAAGCGACAAAGCTAATGCTTCACGTAATTTTTTCTTCCGTCTAGTTGAACACTTAATCGAAATAAACTCACTCAACTAAGTTCTAGGATATTCTTTTAAGGGGCAGTAAACCTTGACTATTGAATCAAGATTATAATCCCGTGGAATATGAACGGGGGTCACATTATCAGATTGCTATAGTAAACAAACCAGAGTTTGGATAGTAATGAGAAACTGATCATTTAAAAAAGTGTCACCCCACTGATAGCATAATGAATTTATTCGCCATTAGACCACTTAGAAATTGTCCCATTCACTCCATTTTCAACACCGTACGTGCACTTTTATTGGGTATGAAAGGCAGAGCTTAGAGTAAAAATAATGAACTTCCGTAATTTACTGAGATAATATTGCACTCACCTTTGTAATAAGCTTGGGAGCCGGTTTACCGGGAATGAGAGCACTGGTGATAATAATGTCCACTTCTTTGGCCTGCTTAGCGAAAAGTGCCATTTCAGCGTCGAGGAATTCCTTGGACATTTCTTTCGCATATCCGCCGCCACCTTCTCCAGATTCCTGCGTTTAAAGTGCATCGATAAAAGTAGAGGAATTACATGTATGGAAAAGAAGATAAGGGTGATGACATTAGCACAACTTTCATAGAATTGCACGAAGTGCTCAAATTAATAGCAGTGATCCGTTAAGGAATGATACGCAACGAGATGATTGACAGAAAGGCTCCGAGACATTGTCCTTCAACTCTTTACCTTGCAGTCTGCCCACAATAACACATAGGTCTGCTTATTCATCTTGGGCACAAAAGTAGCCAGCCCATCTCAGGATAACTTATTTCGATTTTTTCCTACAACCCGAGTCGTCCTCACTCAGCACCCCCCACCCCCACGCACTCATCCGTTTTTATTATTCCCTAGAAATTTCTTCAACACGTCACTTTCTGCCTGTCTCATTCATTACAAATTAACCAGTATACGTGTTATCCCAAGTTAATTTTTGGCTTTCTCACTTGAGAAAAACAGGTAGACCCATCAACTGGATTTGCGTCACTTAAAGTTAATAAAGCAGTCGCAAAATGGCAAGACAGTAGACTTAATAAAAGTAGCTATTAAGCGGAGCGTATAATCTGTCTTGCTTGTGGCCATTGGGTAAGGTTAAATCATTTCTCAGATAAACGCAAAAAATATATGGTAACGATTGAGTAGACAAATCTGACATTGTGATTGAGAATAGATTACCTTCAAATCGATTGTCAAAAACTCAGCTCCAAGAGATTCAACCTGTTCTCGAACAGCTTCTCGCGTGTCAAAACCTCGAACGGTGGCACCTAGACCGCGAGCCGTGGCAATAGCAGATAACCCAGCCACACCGCCACCAATCACCAAAACTTTGGCGGGAGGAATTCGACCAGCTGCAGTAATTTGACCTGAAAATTGCGCATTGATTCATCTTCTAGAACTAGCAACTTACCGGCAAAGAAATTGCTGTAATGCGATGCAGCATCAACAACCGCCTTGTAACCGGCAATATTGGCCATGCTTGAAAGTACATCGAACGCTTGAGCTCGACTAATACGAGGGATACAGTCGAGAGCCAGAACAGTCATTTTACGACTTGACAGCTTATTCACTAGATCCTTGTTTCGAGCTGGATAAACCAAACTGATAAGTGTGCTGTTTGGATTGAGCAGATCGACTTCATTGTCAAGATGAGGGGGACGAACTTTAAGAATAACATCACTTTGAGCATAGAGATCTTTTACTCCAGATTCAACCAATTTTGCGCCAGCTTTGACGTATTCGGAATCGGGGTATTGGGCAAGTGAACCTGCCCCCGCCTCCACATAGATGTTAAATCCCTTTCCACATAATATTTTAACGGTCTATGCAAAAAATCGCTCAGAATTCGTTAACCTACACTTGGTGTGATAGCAACCCTCTGCTCTTCTGGAAAAATTTCTCTGGGAACACCGAGATTTAAAACTTGAGACGGATCAGATTTAACAAATGAAGTGGAAGTGGAAAGGCGAGTAATAGATGCCTTTAGATTTGCACGTAAAAGATTTCTCACGCCAAGTGAGCCATAACGTACAAAAAGAACTTCCATTCTGGAAGCTTGAATGAATCAACCGAAATGGGTTACAAAAACTACTATCAACAATATTGGCGAAAAGATAGCAAAAAGGGTTTAAACTTTCACTGCGTCATTAACCTTGCATATTGATAAAGTATGACAAAATTGAAATATGGTGGAAGAAAATGTGTAGCATTATATTTAGAATATATTTTTTAATTTAATAATTATTCGTCAATAATTTATATCAGTAATTTGGCTTTGCTAGTCATTATACAAACAAGTATTGTTATTGCGATATCAAGTTAACTGGTATTCACAAATTGGATTTATAGAAAAATACTTTGGTACCTTACATTTGCTCGTTGTGAATAAGTACCTAACCTTTACTAAAACCAAATTAATATATATTTGAGTTTGATAAACAGAAATTAAGCAAGCAACCACCCCTTCTTAGTATAAGAAAACATTATGGAGATCATTTTTGTGAGAAATATAATCTGTGTCACCACTTTATTGGTCAAGCTTAACTTTTATGGTTGACAGCTTTATTCGGGGGTATGTACTGTTGAACATTAGGTATATGATACTCGACCCCTTAGGACACAAATCAACCAAAGGTGTGCTTATTGCTTGCAAAATGCATATTTTGGTTCAGAATTGCAAATGCATAAATTTGCATACTATTTGGATAAATTGGAGGTAACTCTTAGAAAATGGCTTAAATCATTGTTGACACTGTAGAAATAAAAAGATTTGAGGTATTGAGGCTTTGATTTATTTTCCTGTTCTATAGGTCAATCGTGAGCCAATGTAAAGTTAACCAAACCTGTTCAGCAACTAGGGTTTCAATTCGTCTCTTCTTATTGATAGAGTTCCAAATTTTAGCATTTAAATAAGTCCAAAACACCACAAGTAAATTATGGCTTTGATATGGAATATGCCACTACACAACTTTGCTGCTTATTGTCAATTAAGATGCATAAAAAATGATTTTAATTTTAAATACTGAATTTAAAATTAAAATAGGTTATATTTTTCATATGTATTGTGAAACGACAATATTTTACCAAAATATATTTGAGCATTATTTGAAAATTGATGTGAAAATCAGCTCAAGGCTCCAATAATTAACTTTGTGTTTTAGCCATTAAAAATAAAGGCAACCTTCGTAATTCGCCCTATCCTGTGGTTCCTTGATCGATTTCCTTCAGGGCTCTTTCCTAGTCGTCATTTGATTTAGTCATACGTTTTATTTGAATAATTTCGTACATCTAGAACATTTTTATTATACATAATGCAGATGGAACCAAAACCTATCTCCGAAGATGTTCTTAAATTACTCTACGCGTAAGTTTGCATATAGATACTCTACACTTTTTCAGGCTTTTTATTTCAAATTGTCCACATCTTACAAAAAATGACTGGAACTCCGGCTCCATACGTATATTTACCGAACTCGAACTTGCTCACTGGCATTATCTCGATAATTATGTCAACGATATGACAGAATTTGGTGTTGACATGTTTGGAATGTGCAAAGCAAGTAAGTTTTTAATTCATTAACAATTTTAAACTATGTTTAGTATTTGAAAGTTTTCCTAAACTTGTTCCCAATGGAGTTGATTGGATTCAAAAGTATAAACTTTGGAAAGCAAGCCGTGTGTCTGCGCACACGGCAGGTGCAGTTATAATCGATGAGGATTTTGAAATGGTCCTTCTTGTTCAGGGTTTTAATAGCAAAAGATGGACATTTCCCAGTGGAAAAGTAGCTGAAAAAGAAACTCTTCGAGCCTGTGCTGTTCGGGAAGTCATGGAGGAGGTTGGCCTGGATATTGAACACAGGATAGTTGATAACTTGTTTATGGACGTATTTGTTGGTGATACACGACATCGTGTCTATATTGTGGAGGGTTTTCCAAAGATAAGAAATCTACGACCCTCAACTAAGAATGAAATTGAGGTTATAACCTGGTTTAGCCTTTCCCAATTGAATATGGATATTACGAGTTCCAATTCGAAGTGCTCAGAATTCCTTCTTGTTGCGCCCTTTATTTTGTAAGTGTTCATCGTTGAGCTAACGGCTGCAAATGCCTGTCTATGACTTTGTTTGTCTTGTTTATAGATCCCTGCAACAATATGTCCATCATCGGAAGTCAGGTTCGCCTCCAATACAAGCGCTGAAATGTAGTTGGAAATCCAAGAATCGACGACAAAACCAATCTAACCAACCCTTACTTTCAAATGCGTCGGCTTTCTCACCTTATGTTGGTCAAAATCAACCTTACCGCACGCAGTCCACTGATCGCACTGGTCCTAAAAGCTCCAAGTTTGTGATAGTTTGCGCAGTTTATCGTGTCTTGTGTCTCAGTCCTTTCATTTTTGTATCTTAATCCTAGACGTAGAACTCAATCTCATGCTGTGCAATCTCGGCCAAATCAACCAGGACAGGTAAATCAATCTTTTAGAAACGCCTACTTTTGCATATGGTCATTTTTTAATACAACTAATCGAGGGTCACAAAGTTGTTCAAGTTTAGCGATGAGATCTTTGGGCTTTGATGTGTTCGTTTTTGTATCAAATCTAGTGGAAGTATGTGACTCTTATAGGATATAGAGATTGACTAAATTGGACCTATAACTTTTCTTACATAGTTTTGTCTGGTTATTGTAGTTTTTTCCAACTAGTAAGACGTGGGGTTGGGTAGGCTAATGGTGAGTGAATGAGAGGGGATGGGGGACTCAAAGGGATTTTACTGAAGGGGACATCAATTTTAAATAGGTAAGGGGTGGGGGGGGGGGGGAACTGGGCGCTTGTCATTCAAATAAACTACAAACTGACAATTTTTAACATGTAAAATTGTAAATCAGTCTTAGCCTGCTGAAAAATGGCCGTTTCACTTCCTTAACAGAATTTGCAGTAACTTTACAACAGGCGGTAAGATTTATTTATATCAAATGGCAGGCGTTTTTGATAGTTATCATTAGCACTTTAGTTGACTTCAGGCTTCACAGAGGGGAAGGGACATCAAAATGAAAAAAGTCGAGTTGGTTGGAGGGAACAGAAGAGTGTTTCAAAGATGTAAGAGACAGACGCAAAGGTAGAGAAAAGGTGAGATGAGTTCTGTGAAAGGGGTCGAATATGACATACAGTGAGGTGATGGTAGTTTGAAGTCTAAAGTCAACTGCCGGTTAATAATCTTTTTTTTGCCCAGATTGCACCACGTGGAGGTAAGTCTATCGCACACCCCGCAGGAGGTAAGATAAATTAATGTGATTAGTTTTCTTTTTATTCCTAGCAATAGCGTTGCTTTCCAACCCTTAGAATTTTCCTCTGCCTTTATTCGAGCCACTTGTCCTATTCTTTATTAGATTAGATTGTTAGAGTTTAGTTTGTGGATAAATTTTTAGAACAGCTTCATTCTCTCTAGAGCCCATATGTTTTTCACCATCTTTATCTTCTAATGGTTCCTTTATTTGAAACTAAGGTTTAAAAATTTGATTGATATATTTTAATGGTAACAAGGTGATGCAAACTATTGTTTGGATTTGAAGAATATGACGTTTGTTACTTGACCTATGAACTGGTTAGATCTTCTCCCGTAAGAACGTGTTTTTTATTAATTGCCTTAGCGGTTTCCGCGTTGCGTACTTAGACATGCGTCTTTTCCTTTTAAATTTTTTTCTCACATCTTGCTTCTTATCTCTTGTTTATCTTTTTTTCTTGTAACTCGTAGGTTTTCCTTATGCTCCGTCCTATTCTATCTGCCTTACATTCGATCCACCGTTGTGGTTGATCTTTCAGATTACTTAGCTTTCACAGCTTTAATTGATACTTTCTTTCCTCTCCATTCAAGAATCGTGCCCAACAAAGGAGCATTTTGAAAGTCGACCCCTCCAAAAATTCGAGTAGTATTTTCGGTGGACAAGTTTCTATCAACGCCGACGTTCTTATTAACATCATAAAAAACTACGCTTGAAATCTCCCTCCCCTCTCCTAGAAACCCGGTATTTCTTACATCCCAATTTCTAATTCTATTTTAATGAAAAGGCGTTGTAAAAAAACAAGATTGGTTTTCGTCAAGGGAAATACTGGGCACTCTCGAAGCTATCGTTATTCATTGTTAATCCAATATAGAGCAATGAGGGGGAGAGTGGAATAAATTGCATTTCCACAACCTTTAGCGACACAGAGAAGGAGTAGAGTGGAAAGTCCTAGGAGACAAACGCTAAAATGCTGTTGAAAGAGGGTCTTATTTCTGGTTCATACTACAATATCGGCAGGCCAAGAACTGGGAGAAAAGGTAAGGCAAAGAGGGGATATGTACAGATTTTGTCTTATAATGGGGGTGTTGTTTTAGGGATTAAGATAGATGACTTGGACTGTGATGTCATCTCGATAGAACCGTGCGACGTTTGCTGGCACTGACAAGTGCATAGCAATTCGAGCAGTATCCATTTCTCTTCCACCTAGAGCTGTTCGGATCAAACGGCTGGCTGCTGTGTCTCGGTAACCGGCCAATGAGGGATTCTACAAAAATCAAGCATTGAATTTAAAGTACTTTTCAGAACTTACCACTGCACTAATTAGCTGATAGTTACGTTTTAAGACGCACTCGCAAACTCAAGTACTTTTTAATAAGGGCATAGTTTTCGAACAGACAAATAGTTCTACTTTAAGGCGTCATCAACGCTTAGGAAAATACAGCTTGGCAGTTTACGATCAGTGCGGATGAAGAGATAGTTGAAAATTCGCTGTGACGTTGCTGACATGCGAGGTTACATCGTGCATTTGACAAGTTGAATAAGTGAACTTAATTTAGATGCAATACACTTCTGTAGTTAACGTGCCTTCGGAACTTTATGCGACTCTTAAATATTCCACCCCATTTCTGCACAATTGTGATAAGTGTGTACCACATTTTCTACTACTTTGGTTTTGGCAAAAGCATAGTGGGAATGGCCATTTAATCTTACCAAACGCAAAAATATCTATCAAACTCTTAGTTACTGACCTAACCACCCGTCGACCTATTCATGGGAGACAAAAAAAACGACAAGCCTGCCATTTCGATCAATTTTCCCTAGCTTACATTCTTGAAGGAATCAAACAGGCCCTGCAAATAGATACTAGATAACCAAATATTGATTTCCATATCCGACTTTGTCTAGGAGACTCTCCATTAAAATAAATTTTATTGGCTATTTGTAAACGCAAAAATCATAAGATTCTATGAGTCGTAAGCGAAAAGTTAGCACCACTAGGAAATTTCCACGGTCTCATATCTTATGACCCAGGGAGTGTGAACTGCATGTGGATGAAGCTTTTGACGAATTGTTTCCCTGCACCTGTCCTAGGTACCCGCTACCCGTTCAAAACAGTCTTAACCATAATGCGGCTTTGCTTTCGATTGGCTAGATGATTGCTAAACACTCAACTTTCAAAAAATGTAAATGGCTACTACGTCATTGTTAAAATGTCAGTTTTTGTTACCCCATGATAGTCCAGATAATGTTGTGCCACAACACAGACAGCCTGATGCGGAGTTAGCATATCCCAGAGTCCATCCGACGCCAAGACAATGAACCGATCACGACGGCGGTCTAGCCGATGACAGACAATCTGTGGGGTAGCAAAGAGGTAAGGTGGTGACGTGTAGAAACGCGGTGTTACAGGATAGCTGGGAGGTAGACCACAAAGTTTGGCGATATTTTTAAGCACCTTGGAGGGCATCTTGTAGCGAATATCACCAAATGCCCGTAAGGGTATCAGTTCACCTGAAAATTAGAAACAGGTTTAATGTGATACTGATAGAAAATCGAGATAATAGTTTGTGACGCTGAAATATTTGCCTGAGATCGTCATCTTCATTTAAAGACGGAGTTGCTCTAGTCATTTCAAACACTAACGCCTCTACCACCGCATTTAACTTCAATACTGTTGATTATTATTCACAATTGATCCAAAGAGAGATCTATAAATTTACTCCCTAGAGTCACATCCTAACAGGAGCTTTATCAATAGAATCCAAGCTAAAAATAGATTGGTAGGACACCTATTAGCCATAAAACATCTAGTTGCCTCTGTAGTATCGAAAAATCGGGAAACACTTATGTAGAAAGCGCATGAAAGTTAAATAAACGTTGACTTAAGTTAAACTGAAAGTGATTAAACCAACTAATGTAAGCACTCGTCATAAATTCTACTGTAATATTTAAATAGCTTAGATCTCTCCTTGGCGGAAGACGACATGAGTACTGGTTGTAAATGGACAAATTTTAACAACTGCCAGAGGATTCTAAATCTCTCGATGACGTCTTCATTCTTTTGAAGGCACCAGACTTGAGGGTCTCAAAATTATGGCTCTGTATTGGGCAAATATCTCTTTCACTCCTCCTAGTAAGGTCAATATTACAATCGCAAGTACAGTAGTCATAAGCTTTCAGTTTGATCTGGCAAGAATACAGAAAAAAATAACTAATAACACAAAAAGCGAATTCCAACTAAACTGAGGTCATAAAATGCATTTGAGATTCATGAGAGCATGGAATGTGGAGATACTGCTCAAGAAGTGGACTTTAATAATCAATTCCGTGACATGCAGTCCTCGAATTTCCAACCGTTCAGTAACATTCTTCTCAAAAGCGCCAATGTTTGCGATAAAAAAAAGCAACACAAAATAGCCAAGATAATCCGTTGATATGCAATTCTCTTAAATTACTGTTGATTCATTGACACGCAGACAGCTCCCGAGGACAAAGCCTACTTCCACAATGTCACTTATATCATGACTGTCGCGAAACCACGGTCAATGGAAACAAAAAATATCTTAATACTAGCCAGACTGCCAACTATTTTTCATGTACTTAAGTGGAAGGATCAAAACCACTTGCCCCCAGAAGGATTCATTAAAACTTGGCTTTTACAACTCGTGATTGCATAGAAAAGATAATCAACTTTCCATAATATTCGCATCCCTCAAAAAAACAGACAATTTAAACTAACACAGTAGTCGGTCCTCAACAATCATAAGCGATGCCTCATGAATAGGATGCTGGGACTGCAGCCTTTCAACCTCCCGAAGATTCTGTGCATTATGCGGAGCCACCAACAGATTCGCCTCCCAGTCCGTAGGGAGCACGGATTTAAGATGATTCTTCATTGTTGTGGAGTCTGAACCTTCTGGAGAGCCATTTAGTAAGGAGGGGCAGCGGGAATCGCTCCCAATAAATCGACCTAACACAGCTCCACAATCACCGGTTTGAAGGACATACAGTGAAGAGAGATCATGGGGAAGGTAAACGGAAGTGGCAACACAGCCCGAGAGGACGATTCGAAGGAGGGATTTGTTGAGTCCTGTCTCCGGATGGGGTACCGCATCGCTGGTTATGTCACTGTCCAGTCGTGTCAATGCTGTCCGTAGACTAGTCGCTGTGGCCGAGATAGCGGACAACTGGTGAGAGTCAAACTCAGAACCAGAGCAGATTAGAAACCCCTCGGAGTCGTAGATGCTACCATTGGCTCGAAGCACGCAGTCAGCTAAGTGAAAGAACAGAGATAAATACCATTTTGATTTTAGTGTCCTTTTGTTCTTTTTCTCTAGTTACCCTATCTAAGACAAGACACTAAATCAACAGCGCTCCACTTTTTGTATTCGTAATTACAAATCTGAGTTACTTCCTCCTTTCCTGTGTGTGGTATTTTATTTCGTCCGTCTGTCTCATTGAAACCTCGTATTAAGTAAGCGGACTATTTAAATTCTACAGATTACTATTGAGCCTAAGTTGCGATTGATGTATATTTACTGTTGCACCATTCATGATTTGAGATTCCGCTGATTTGGAGCTTAATTCAAAAGAGTAGTAAGTGATAAGTTGCTCCAACTCTAGGTTTTCAAAATTAAGCCGCGAGCTGTTTATATTTGCACAATTTCAAATTTTACAAACCATTTCGAATTAGCCTCAGAGCAGAGCGCAAATATATTTGGAATTGAAAGTATGATTAATAGCGCCAATCCTAGACGTTGTATTATTCTACTAAATGAAGTATAATAATTCCAAAGGTCGTTTTCCAACATCCATCTTGGGTTAGAGTGGAATGATGGGGCCTCCCAGGTGAGACTCAAATTGAGATACCATCTTACTATAGCGTTTTCACTTTTAACGGTTAGTTCATAAATGGAAGTATCCAAAGATATACTTAAACCTACGTGGAGAGTCCTGGTTGATTGTTTCCATGCGTTCCTTCAGAAATCGATGAATGTTGAAGAGTCGCTTACGATTGACCTCTGCGTCTAGAGGACCCCACTGGCCCCAGAGACGCCAATTGCTGTACCGACTACTGCAGGAGGGGAGTGAGGTTGGTTCTGGTGAATCCGCTGACCCAGACGGCAAAGGCGCTGTATCAGAGGTCATGAATGCTGATGGATCGAGAAGATAGGGCTGAGCTAGTTCACAGGCCTACGGAGAGAAGCAAAGAAATTCGTCTTAGGCTAATAGACACACTAAAGAAAGTACAAGGGAAGGAAAGGAAAGGCGGTTGCACTCCTTCCAGCCTATTACCACTTCTTTCCCCACTTTGATCCCGTTAAAGGACACAATCTGCTGATTATTATTGTAACTATGATGTGCGCGATGGACTTATCTCCAAGTGGTGCACCCTGGGTAATGTATACTCATACGGCTAAAAAGTCTACAAACCGGCAGTTGACTTCTGACTTAAAATTCCCACGTCCCGACTGTATGTCATATTCGACTACTTCCACAGTACTTACCTCACCTTTTTTCCACCTTTGTGTCTGCCACTTTTACATCTGTGAATTACTCTTCTGTTCCTCCTCTCCACTTTGTGTGACTTTGACGTTCCTCCCCTCTGTGAAGTCAGAAGTCAACTAGAGGGCTAATGATAACTATCAAAAAGCCTGCTATTCGATACAAATAAATTCTATCTATGGACTAGGGAATATATTAACAAATTTTACTTAAGCAGAAGTACCTGAATAGGGGGAAGCTAGTACAATGAGATACGAACCCGAAAAATGGGATAGTAAA